TCTAGTACCTCCTCTTTTTCTTGTTTAACCTGATTCAACTCTGTTTCTTTTTGTTCATTATCACTTTTAAGTTGTGTCAGTTCATTACTGAGACTTTCTTTTTCGCTTTTAATTTGAATTAGTTCATTATTTAATTTATTCATTCCATCACTTCCATTAGCCATCTTATCAATCAAATCTTTCTTTTCATTTTCTAAAATCTCAAGTTTCTTTTTAGCTTCTATTTCACTTTTCATTTTTGTTTTAAGTAATGAATCTTGTGCATCACATTTCTTTTTTAATTCTTCAATCTCATTTTGTAACCTTTTATTTTCCTCTTCAATTTGTGCATTAACTGATCTATTAACTTCTTCTGCAGTAGTCTCTGATGCTAAACTAGATGTGCCTGAATGTTCCGAAGAACTATGCCCAGTATTTTCAGTAGAACTTCTTTTGCTAAAACTTTTTCTTCCTAAGAAACTAAGTCTTTTTTTATGAGTTTCTTTTTCTGTAGGTTCACTTGTTTGAGAAGAACTTTGTTTTTGCTCATTCTTTGTTTCATCACCTGAAACCTCATGTGAGGTAGTTGAACCATGTTCATTTGTTTGATTTTGTGTTTCGCTTCTTCTAGAAAGGAACCCTTTTCTTTGTTGTGACTTCTCAGTGGGTTGCTGCGTGTGAAGGTCTTGTTCTTCTGATTCATTTGTATTTACTCCCTTTTTTGGTCGAGTAAGAAATGAAGCTTTTCTTTCTCTATGTTCTGGGACAGGTGCTTCTCCAGAGGGGTGTGGTGGTGTTGCATCTGGTTGTTTGTCCTCTGGTTTAGGGGTTGTTTGTGGTTCGACTTTACGTCGAGCTCCCAGTTGGATACCGGCTCTTCTACTCATTGAACTAAATAAAAATTTTATGAGTTATTTTTTGAAAAAAAGAAGAGAGTTTTCTTTTTTCAAATAATTTAAAAGCATAAAAAGTAGAATGAAAATATTCTGTGTATAACTGAAATTTTTAATAACCGACATTCTTCAATTAAGCTTCAACAACTTCTCCTTTTTCTTCAGCAACTGGGGCAGCTTCAACTGGTGCACTGTTATCTTGGTGTTGGTCAAGGAGTTTAAGTGAATCAATTTTACCAGCCTTAAGAATCTTGACCTTACGAATGTAGACATTGTCCATTGAGAAGACTTTGCTGCATTTGGCAACAATTTCTTTTGGAAGTTTGTTTTCTCTGAGATAATCAACAAATTGTGTAAGTTCACGTGAAGCAGCTTCTTTAGTGATGAGATTATTCATAATCTTTCTAATCTTTTTAATTTGAGCACTTTTAGCGTATGAAGTCTTCTTGATTTGATTGGATTTTCTGCTGGTGAATCCAATGCAGAAGATTCTAATTAAGTGGCCATCAGTAGTTTTAACATCAACTGATGTTTCAATAAGAGTACACCACTTCTTAACGATTGATCTTAATTTATCAGTTGTGAGTTTAAGTCCATGGAAGATCATAAGACAATCTTTTCCATTAACATCTTCACATTTAAATTTGTAATTGTATGCTCCAAATTTTTCATTTTCCATAAGATCAGCAAGATTTACTTCAACAACTCTTCCCTTAAGTTGTTCTGAAGCAATTCTAGTACCAGCTGTCTTATTAACAACAATTTGTCCAACGGTTCTTCTTTTGTAATTCTTTGGTACTTTAACATTGTACCATTCCTTCTTGGAGAATGGTTCAGCAATCTTTCTCTTGCTTCCCTTCTTAACATTTCCTGCCTTATACTTCTTATTCTTTCCTGTTGCCATCTCCTAAGAATTGGTTTTTTTAGTTTTTAGGGTTTTCTCTTTCTTTTTCTTTTTTTCCAATCTAGTTTCTTCAAACTATAGTTTACTATACA